AGCCTATCGTCAATTCTACCGTGATTGTGTCATCTCTGGTACCATCGATTTCATCTTTGGTGTCGCTCGCACCGTCATCCAGGGCGGCACCCTTGTTGTCAGGAAGCCCATGGATAACCAGCAAAACGTCGTGACTGCAGAGGGTCGTCAGGACCCCAATGGTGTGTCAGCAATCGTAATCATGAACAGTCACATCACGGCCGACCCGGCCTACTTGCCCGTCAAGAACCAATTCCCGACATACTTGGGGCGCCCGTGGAAGAATTTCTCTAGGACCGTGATCATGCACACCGTGATCGACGACATAATCACCCCCGCGGGGTGGGTCCCGTGGGATGCGCGGTGGGGGCTTGACACTCTCTACTATGCGGAGTTTGAGAACACGGGCCCTGGTTCCAACACGCAAGGCCGAGTCACTTGGCCTGGGATTAAGCACATTACACCGCAAGAGGCCGAGCAATTTACCCCGGTTAAATTTTATGCCGAAGGTGATAGTTGGATCAAGGATGCTAATGTACCCTACACTGCCGGAATGTCGTAACTACTATTAACCAATTTTGAAAAATTATTTTATTTTATTGATTTCTTCTTTGGGTTGGGTGATGTAGAAAAGGTAAAGAAGCGTATTATTAATAATTTTTTTGGCATGGTGGTGATTAAATTGATCGGCATCATGGAGTGGATCGAAGCTATAGCAGGTGATCAAATGTATTAATTTTTTTATGAATGTTTTTTTTTTTTTGTATTCATAGTCTTGATCATTTTTCTATAAAATGACTATGTGACTCATATGAGCTGATAAAATGAAATTTTGTATTCATAGTATTAATAAAATTTCTATAAATTTGTTACTTCGAGTGGGTGGGTGGGTGGTTGGTTGGTTGGTATTTGATAATATTAATTGGTTAACATAACTTTTTGAATCTGGAATTTCTTCCTCTTGTGATCTTCACTCTTCATTCATCGCCAAAATCAGTCTCATTTGGCGGAGAGGTAACCTGGTTTCTTCATTTATTGAAGTTTGCTCTTAATTTTATACGTGATGTACAAGCAAAGTTCATGTAAATTATTTGCTTGGTGGACAATGAAATATGTTATCATTTCCTGATCGAGGATATTTATTTTCTTTACAGTTGTATAAATACCATGTAGTCATTTCTACGGGTACGTGAATAGTTACCATGGTTATTATCGAATCAATTACGTTAAATTATATTAACCATGGAATAAACAATTTTAGCCGAACTGATTACATTAAAACAACAATAATCAAATTACGAAGCCAAGGTTTAATTGGGTCAGATAATTATTAAAGAATATTGATACCTTAAAAAAACAAGAAGCAGAAAATTAACCATCTACGGATATTATTATGAAGAAATTATGCTTTCATGAACGAAACAAGCACATCAGTTTAAATTGTCACTTGGTTCATTAGTAACTCCTCGCTAAAACCATTTTAACGAGACGTTAGAAATAGCTTGTGTGCTAAAACGTGTAGTAGTAGGAGAAATTTTATAATGCTATATAGTATTGGTGTATATGGTACAATTTAAAATTGTACATTTACGTTATGGTATAACTTTAGATTGTACCTATACTTTTTGTACAAATTCTTTTATGGTACAACTTGAACTTGTACCTTTATGTGATGGTACAACTTCAAGTTGTAAAGTTGTACCATAACATATTGGTACAAATTGCTTTATGGTACAACCTAAACTTATACATTTAATGTTATGGTACAACTTTGAGTTGTACATTAAAGCACCAATGCTATATAGCATAGTAGAAGTGCTCGTAGTAGTAGAGCTTCAGAGGCTCGTGATTATTGTGCTTTTCAATAACTTGCCTATCTAATTAACTCAAATTGTTTAGAAAGATTCAAGAACAATTCCTATACCAAATTCATATACATGTCCTCGCAAGGAAAGTCAATCTTCTTGAGTTTAACTTTAAAATGTGCACAAGCCCACCAAATCGTGTGATTTAAATCCATTTTTAATTTTGGGGTCGTGAAAATTCGAGCACGAGACCTTTCGATTAAAAATACCATGTCATTGCACACATCCTTACCTTAACTAGAATCCAACTCACGAACTTGAATTTTGCATAGGCCTCCATCATGTCATTTGCTTAACAGTTAACACAGCTGCTAAAACTTAATATTGAGGTTTGTCAAGGTTTACACACCACACGTTGAAACATGTAGGTCAAAGGACGTCATGATATCATATAAAAACTAATTAATCTCAATAACTGAAGTTGTGAAGCAAGAATATATCTTATACAATTCTTTCTCCGCAAATGCATCTTATAACATATGATAACACTTGTGGTTGCCAACTTTGGACCCTTTCAGCGAGCTAGTCAGCTAAGACCATCTTTAGTGATTAGATCCAAATGTCCAAAATTTGAGGCTATAATCAAATTCTAGCCCCTTAAAAGGTGTTTTGGCATTAGTAGTGTGTTCCAAAAGTCCAAATTTCCAAATTTGCGCTTTAACTCATAATCCAGTTTCGTATATATTTCATCATTCTAATTACAAAATTTGTTCATTAACTTTATATAGGTACTATTAATTAATTAAGACGAACATTTCGACAATTTTTTTTAATTCTGACAAAAAAAAATTATTTGTAAATATGACTTAATTAATGACGGTCTCTTGTTTGGACCGAAAGAGCCGTTGGAGGAGATTGTGGGTGCTAAAAGATAAAGTAATTTCTTTTTTTATTATTATTAAAGCTCTTTTTGCAGGTGGGCCCGTCCACTTTTTCCCCATGTGGTCACACTCTCTTTTGGAACTTTTTGTCCAATTCTGAGCCAAATTATGACCCAATTTTTGGATAAATTGAAACTTTTGACTTTTTGGAACCTTACTAAAGTGGGTCTGGTCCAACTTTTTGCAATTCCAGTCCACCACTAAAGTTGGTCTAAGGTCTCCTCTCTGCGGAATTGAGCTTTTTAGCTATGTGGGAACTCCAAGATATCTTACTGGAATTGAGCCTCCCTGGAAACTAGGGTTGGGCAATCGGTTCGGTAAATCTGAAACGAATCGAAACCGAATTAATGCTATTCGGTTCGGAATTCGGAAGAAAAATATGAATAGTCTGGAAATCAGGGTTCTTTCAACCGGATCGAATTTTCGAATTTCCGACCAAAAAACCGTAATACTATAATTGCAAGCTCCAAATGGTAGATTTTTATGTTTGTAGTTGTTTTTAGACTTAAATATTTGAAATGTTTTATGACTTATGTGTTGAAAAGTTTCATTTTATCATTGATGATGCATATAATTGCATATTTATTTTTTATATTAGGGGTGAAAAATAATTTAAAAGTGAGAAGGTACAAGTAGCTTCACAAATTCGGTTTTGTGTGAAAAACCGAGCCGAATTGAATTATAATTTGGTTTAAACCGACCAAACCGAATTATAATTTGGTTCGAATTCGGTTTAAGGTTTGGGAGAATTCAGGGACCCGATATTCATAATTTCGATTCAGTCGAAACCGAACCGACCGAATGCCCACCCTACTGGAAACCCTGATTGTTTTAATAATTGCTTTCTACAAATCACTCCCGACTAGGGGTGTGCAACGGTCCCCGAAAATGCTCGGTAGATAGGTCGGGGATAAAAATCTGACTTTTTCGTTCCTCTCTTTTCAGTCGAGCAACTTCGTTTCGTTGTTCTTTTCTCTTATTGCAAAAAATAGAACTGCTAACACAAACCCAACCTGAAAACGTCGATCTCCCCTCACTTTCTTTCTAACGACAAGTGGCAGTGAGCGTGTAGCACGACGCATGATTCCATGGATAGTTTCATTCGACTTCGCGATGGAGGACATATCTTACTATCATCGGCTTTGATCATGCCACTAGGCGTTTAATTAAGACATTGCACAATGATCTGAACACTTTGTCGCATCACTTCGATACGGAACTCTTGTGGTGCCCCTGTAGCTTGTAAGGTGTCTCTGACGAAGTCCCATTTAATTCTATCGTAGGTCAGGCCTTAGCTAGGTCCACCTTTAAAATCATCATGCCTGTCCGGTGCGGTCCGGACTGGACCGAACTCATGAGCACCAAAGTCTATTAGTGAAAGACATCTTAGAACCAAACACCGGACCATCATTGCATTCGGTCCATTTGGCCGGGTTCGATCCGGTCCAAATATTAACTCGATGCATCATTTCATGAGTAATTGTAAAAATCATGAGGACCAAGTACCGCACGCATTATACTCAGTCTGATATAGTCCGGTCCAAACTTCAATTTGGTTTGGTACAAACCGGACCATTGCAAACCCCTACTCCCGAGTCCCGACTACTCTGCACAATACATGCAACTAGGAATGACAATGGGGCAAGTCCGGGGCGGGTATCTCGATACCCATATATACCCGCCCCGTGGCAGGTCGGGTCCAGGTCAGGTAATTTATCACAGCACGTGGGTCGTGGCAGGTCTACCCAATGGGTATGTAATTATATGGAAAGCATTAGAAATATTAGTTATTTTCACTATAAGACCAAGAAACAAATCATAAAATGATAAATGTAGTTAAATTATTGGAGATTTAGATTTTTACTAATTTACAACTTTATAATAACTAAAATATGATGTAATAAAAAGAAAATTCAAAGTAATTTGACTAAAATTACATGTAATTTAGCCATGACTACATGCAACTCACTCTTGCTAGGGTTGTATTTCATCAAATATTATTTTTTCCTTTTCATAGACACCATGTGTTTTTATCGTAAGAAATTAATTTTTTTTTTTCTTAGCTAGACAACATTCTTAACATCTTGATTTTGTTTTGTTCCAATTTTGTCGATTAACTACATATAATTTTGATGTGGTTTAACTGTAATAAATTGTGTCAACAAATAATCCCTAATCACCCCAGAAACCACACAAACTTAAACTGTTCCCCATATCTTTTGCCCTAGTCTCCCGCATCCAAAATGTAATTAGACTCTAACTTTAGCAATTACCCCCTAACCAAAAAACGAATTAACTAACTTAATCACCTTCTCCCTCCTATATAAACAAATCCCTTCTCAATGTTCAACCCAATCCAGGGCTGAAACATCATTGAGGGCCAGTGCTACACATTTCCCCTCTCTTTGGCCCTCAGGCTCTGGGTTCTTCCATCATATTAGGTAAAAAAAATAAAAAGGTAAAAAAAATATATTACTACCTCAGTAATTAAGTAGCGCAATAAAAAGCTCTTCACCTGCGTAATTGTATTAAGCAAGAGTTACTCTACACTAATTAGCTAGCCTCCGATGGGAGAATCCGACGACAGCAGCAAGAGGAAGATCGCCGTCCTCGGCGTCTCCACCTTGCTCCTCGTCGCCATGGTCGTCGCCGTCACCGTGGGCATCAACGAGACAGGCCCGGGCACCGGCGGCGACGGCGGCAATGAGGAACACGCTGAGGTGTCCACGTCCAACAAGGCCGTGGCCGTCCTGTGCCAGCCCTCCACCTACAAGGAGACCTGCGAGAAGAGCCTGGCCAAGCCCGCGGAGAACATCACCGACCCCAAGAAGCTGGTCCAGATCGGGTTCGAGGTCGCGGCGGAGTCCCTCAGGGAGTCCCTGAAGAACTCCGCCACCCTGAAGGAGATCGCCAAGGACCCCATGGCGAAGCGCGGCCTCGAGCTCTGCGACGAGCTGCTCGAGACCGCGATCGACGACCTCAAGAGGTCCGTCGACGAGCTGGGCTCGTTCGACATGGCAAAGGCCTACGTGCACCTGGACAACCTCAAGACGTGGCTCGAGGCCACCATCACGTTCCAAGAGAACTGCAAGGACGGGTTCGATAACACCACGGGCCCCGCGGGGGACAAGATGAGGGAGATCCTCAAGACGTCCGGCGAGCTCACTAGCAATGGGCTCGCCATGGTTAATGGGCTGGCTAAGTTCCTGGCTACGTTTGAGTTTAGCAGCAAGGCCCGCAAGCTCTTGCAGGCCCAGGCCCAGTCCGAGTTCCCTTCGTGGGTCGACCCGGCCCAGAGGAGACTCTTGGCGGCCGACCCGGCTGGTGTCCCTGCCGATATGGTTGTGGCCCAAGATGGAAGTGGGCAGTACAAGAGTATCATGCAGGCCATCAGCGCCATCCCAAAGAAGCACAAAACCCCTTTCGTCATTAAGGTCAAGGCCGGAGTTTACAAGGAGCATGTCTTGATCCCCAAGTATGCTGACGGCATTGTGATGATTGGTGATGGCCCCACCAAAACTCGTGTCACCGGTAGCAAAAACTTCGCCGCCGGCGTCCAAACCTCCGACACCGCTACCTTCGGTACAATTTCCGCTAAACTATTTTCCCACTTTTTAAGTTACTAAGGGGTCGTTTGGAGAACAGGATTCAGGACATGGATTCATTGAATCCATAGATTTTGTAGAAAGTTATGTTTTTCTGTTACTTTTTGTATTATGGATTCTAGCTTTAGAGATTTCAAATCTCTAAAATCTGCGGATATAAAATCTCTCATAACCAGAGAGATTCTGTATCTTGATTCGTGAGATTTTTTCTCTCCTAATTTTTCTCTTCCTTTTATTTATTTATCACATGAAATATATTTATCAACAAAGTTTTTTTATATTTCTCGAACCACTCTAATTTTTTTATTAAGGATAAACATGTTATTTAATATAAAATGAATTTTTTATTTTACTTGATTGTTAACAATCACAGTTACCAAACAATAAACATTTTAAAATCTGTTTTCAACAATCCGAAGAGTTGAAATCTTTAGATTGTTGATAATCTGTAGATTTAAACTCATATTCTCCAAACGATCCCTAAATGTTTTCGAACTCACCTTTATTTGGAAACTTCCAAAGAATTGTCCTAGTGGTATTACCACTAGTTTTGAACTTGTAGGGTCACATGTTCGAATCTCATCAATAACATTAATACGCAAAAAATAACGGTTGATTATGATCTGCAGCTGTAGTAGCACCAAACTTCGTAGCCCGCAACATGGGTTTCGAGAACACGGCCGGACCGGAAGGCCACCAGGCCGTGGCCTACCGGTCCAGGTCCGACAACTCCGTCCTCTACAACTGCGCCTTCGACGGCTACCAGGACACGCTCTACGCCCAAGCCTACCGCCAGTTCTACCGCGACTGCACCATCACGGGAACGATCGACTTCGTCTTCGGCACCGCCACGACCGTGCTCCAGAACTGCAAGCTCATCGTCCGCAAGCCGCTCCCCAACCAGGCGTGCATCGTCACCGCCGAGGGCAAGAAGGACCCCAACGGCGACTCTGCAATCGTCCTGCAAGGGTGTCACATCACGTCGGACCCGGCTTATTTCCCCGTCAGGCACACCAACAAGGCCTACTTGGGCAGGCCCTGGAAGGAGTACTCGACCACCATTGTTATGAACTCGATTCTCGATGACTTGATTGCCCCCGAGGGTTGGTTGCCGTGGGTGGGCGATTTCGGGTTGAATACTCTGTTCTATGCCGAGTTTGAGAACAAGGGGGCCGGTTCGGCTCAGGGCGGTCGGGTGACGTGGAAGGGTATTAGGAAGTTGACCGCGGCTCAGGTTGAGACGTTTACGCCTGCGAAGCTTTACGTGGAAGGAGATGATTGGATTAGAGCCGCTAATGTGCCTTATGTTGCTGGGTTTATGAAAGCGTAAAGAAAGAGAGGGGAAGCAGGGGAGCTATGGGTGATAAGAGGGGTTAATTATGGGGGGTTAATGCTAACTAATTATTAATCGTGTAATTTGTAAGGTTTGCTTTGCTTTTATGCGGTTGGAATTGATGCTGACTGAAAAAATGTAAAAAATAAAAAGGAAATAAGATGAGAAAAAACGAAAAAAAAGAATTAACTCAATGAACTTCATGTCTTCTTTGCTTTCTTATTTGTGGTTTATAATCGCACTTAATTGATCAATCAATTTAATTGGTCAAATTGGTTCGACTCGCTTGGAGGACCTCACTAGGCGCTAGCAACCGAGTTAACTATCAACCCGAACCATGGTCAAATTGGTTCAACTCGCTTGGGTTTGATCTCTGCTCGATGAAATTGATCTTAAACTCCAGGGGGAAGTAGTGCAACAAGATGTGAATCCATGCTCCATGGAGCTTCTACAATTTGAAGAACTTAAAATTTTGAAAGCAATATAGGGTTATAGTAGCGAATAAACTTTTGAAGAATCTGAATCTAAAACTTGTAAAGATAGTACAACTTTTGGAAGTTGGTTGTGCTAGCTTAAGGGAGGGCTTTGTATTTGAGATTTTTTTTTTTTGAATCTCGATCTAAATTATTTCATCCTAGTAAAAGTTGCAGATCTCGAAAAGTTATTCGGATTCAAAAAAAATCGCTACGATCGGATACCCGAGTGCAAAATTACGTTTGTTTGAAGTTTCCGCCGAAGTTAGGAGTTGATCGGGAAAAAAAAAATTGGACCAAACCGCTGGGTGGGGTGGCGGTTTGGCCCAAAACCGTCGTCCCACCCAGCGGTTTTTATAGGTTTTTATAACCGCCCCTTAGCCCAGCGGTTTGCATAGAAAACCGCGCCCTCGCCCAACGGTTTTCTTGTAAATCGCAGGGTGGGATGACGGTTTTTGAAAAAGATGTATTTTTTGAATTTTTTGGGATTTGGTGGTATTTTTGATTTTTTTTTTAACAGTGGTACTTTTGGATTTTTTCCCACATTATCTACCAATTTAATAAAACCAATGGTGGTACCACACATTTTAACAAGTTCATTATGAACTTCTATTTCAGTAAGGGACACAAATAGTATCTCTCAAACATGAAAGGATGCAAGCGTCATTGTTAAACCAGTGATATGTCACTCTGTTATGGGACAATCAAAGTATCACATATGATATAAAAGGGAATTAACCCTTGTATACTAGTGTCCACCAAGCTAATTAGTACGAGACATTTTGGGGAGGAACACAAGAGTAAAACCGTGCAGGCTTGGTCCAAAACAGACAATATCGTACTAATTGAGCTCCCGGGTAATGACAAGTGGTATCAAAGTCTGCTTCGGGTCTAGGGCGATGGACGTCGGCCATCGATACAAGGTGTTTGGCAGATCAAAAGAGGTTCGCGTCTATCTAGTAGATCAAAGGTGATCTACGTCTGGTTTGGCGGATCAAGATAATCGCTGAGTAGATGACACGAAGTTTGTGGTCCTTGTCTTGAGGGGAGGATTGTTATGGAACAATTCAAGTACCACATCGGTAATACAAGAGAAGGAACCCTTAACACACTCGATATAATTTGGATTTAAATAGGATAAAAAATAAATTGACTCGAATTTTTTAATATGAAGTGGTAGTTAAAACCAATCAAAATGAGAAATTTGATGGCCCGGCCGGTATTATCATTTTTTGGCATTAAATAAAATGATGGTCGATTGATGGATTTAATTAAAAAAATTATATTTGTAAATATGAGAATTTGTCATTTTGTTTGTAATGTTGTATTTTTATTTAATTATGAATGTTGATATTCTTTGTTGGACTCAAATTTAAATATTTGGATGTTGAAAATTAGTATTGTATTAAGATATGTTATATATATGCATAATCAATTTGTTGTTAGGTATTACTAGTTTCTCAATTTTCCTACACATTTCATTAGAACCCACCCACATGTGCTATTTGTACCTCAGCCGGATGAGAAATTTTACAATGCTATATAGCATTGATGCTATAAGTTTTTGTTTTTATGATACAATTTTAAATTGTTCATTTAACGTTATGATACAACTTCATATTGTATTTATACTATTTGTACAAATTCGTTTATGGTACAACTTGAACTTGTATCTTTATGTGATGGTACAACTTAAGATTGTGAAGTTGTACCATAATATATATTGAAACAACCTGAACTTATACATTTAACGTTACGGAACACCAATGCTTTATAGCATAGTAGAAGTTGTTCCAGCCGGACATAGCACTTGCTAAATAGATGTAATAGTATGAATCAAGAATTGTAAAACCTTATCGGAGATTGTACCAAAAAAGTCAATAATATGAGTATTTATGTTAAAACAGTAATTTAACCATGATTCAAACATTTCATACCGGTAAAACTAGCTACGGACATAGACTCCGATAGACGAATTTTTCGGTTAGACAGCCAATACAATTTTACACAACACAGTTGTAAATCGATTTGACATCTCGGACAAGACAAAGGAAGGTTCGAGAAGGAACCGGACGGCAAGTCCAATCAAACTCTTTGCGTGTCAACTACTCAACTATCAGAACAGAAACACGTCATTCCTTGCCCGTTTCTCCTTTTTCTGTTAATTAATTGGTTCTCCGCAACTAGGTCGGCCAATTCCCCCCTCTATAAATCGACTCCCAATTCTCTGGTTTCGCCATCCGCTGAATCACAATTCATTCAAAACTCTCTCCATAATCAAATCTCCGATTCAGAGCTTTCTTCCCAGCTTCTCAAGGTAACAGCCGAATCCGATCTATTCATCAATCTCTTCCTGTTCGTCCAGTTCTGGTTTTTGTTTAATTGAACGTTGATCTGCGAACTAGGGTTCTTTCTTATGGTGATTTGATCGTATGCGTTAATATTGTGATCTCTGAGCCTAATCCAATTCAGGGTTTTCGTTGGTTCATATTAATCTCGGTCGGGGTTATTGAATTAGGGTTTTCTTGTCGTTGTGATCGAACAGATGCAGATCTTTGTCAAGACCTTGACGGGAAAGACCATCACTCTCGAGGTCGAGAGCAGCGATACGATCGACAACGTGAAGGCTAAGATCCAGGACAAGGAGGGAATTCCCCCGGATCAGCAGAGGCTGATCTTCGCCGGCAAGCAGCTCGAGGACGGCAGGACCTTGGCCGATTATAACATTCAGAAGGAGTCGACCCTTCACCTGGTTCTCCGTCTTCGTGGAGGCATGCAGATTTTCGTCAAGACCTTGACTGGAAAGACGATTACTTTGGAGGTCGAGAGCTCCGACACCATTGACAACGTCAAGGCCAAGATCCAGGACAAGGAGGGCATCCCTCCGGATCAGCAGAGGTTGATCTTCGCCGGGAAGCAGCTTGAGGACGGCAGGACGTTGGCCGATTACAACATCCAGAAGGAATCCACCCTTCACCTGGTTCTCCGTCTGAGAGGTGGTATGCAGATCTTCGTGAAGACATTGACTGGCAAGACCATTACTCTCGAGGTTGAGAGCAGTGACACTATTGACAACGTTAAGGCCAAGATCCAGGATAAGGAAGGGATCCCTCCAGACCAGCAGAGGCTCATCTTTGCAGGGAAGCAGCTTGAGGATGGGAGAACCCTGGCAGATTACAACATCCAGAAGGAGTCAACTCTCCATCTTGTGCTCCGTTTGAGGGGTGGTATGCAGATTTTTGTGAAGACCCTGACTGGAAAGACCATCACCCTCGAGGTTGAGAGCTCCGATACCATTGATAATGTCAAGGCTAAGATCCAGGATAAGGAAGGAATCCCCCCAGATCAGCAGAGGCTTATCTTTGCCGGGAAGCAGCTCGAGGATGGAAGGACATTGGCTGACTACAACATCCAGAAGGAGTCAACCCTTCACTTGGTCCTGCGTCTAAGGGGAGGGATGCAGATCTTTGTCAAGACCTTGACTGGAAAGACCATCACCCTCGAGGTTGAGAGCAGCGACACCATTGACAATGTGAAGGCTAAGATTCAAGATAAGGAGGGTATCCCACCAGATCAGCAAAGGCTTATCTTTGCAGGAAAGCAGCTTGAAGATGGAAGAACCCTGGCGGATTACAATATCCAGAAAGAGTCTACTCTGCACTTGGTCCTTCGTCTCCGTGGTGGCTTCTGAAGTGTGTTGTGTCTCTGGCTGCCTGCCATGATGCGTTGAAGGTTGTTGTTGGTTTCTGATGAGTGTTTGAAAGATGTTTTTTAAGTTTCTGGTCGGCTGTGGGGTATATGCTTAATATGGCTCCTCGATTATTTTAGTTTTCTTTTCAGTACTGTGATGGCCTCGGTGGCCCTGTGAACAATCAAATTGGTTCTGTTTGGTTTCTTATGAAGTTCGGTTTGTGGCTATTTTGAAATTTGATCCTCTTGTTTGCATGCTATAGTCTGATGGTATGTTGGTCGGGCGCTCGACAAAGGCAATTGGATGGTAGTTGGGATTGTAGAATTGCAGATAAGTGGAATGAATGTGTAATCGTAAATTGTAACTTTTGAGCTCAAGCAAGCCACTGGATGAGTATTTGGAAAGGGAAAAGGGTGTAGGGCTGTCAGGCTGTGGGTAGTGGACTTGGTGCCCGTAAGATTTCCCCTAGATGATGCATTGTTGCTTTCAGGATGGATCGTCAAGTCCATTGGTGATGATATGCAGGAGGGACTGATGCATTGTTACGATGAATGCATGATATGTTGTTGCAAGGTACCCTGTCGCTTGTTGAGATTTCGAACAAATTGTCAGTGTTTAGAATTCAAATAATTTTTGGTGTTGATAATTCAGAGATATGATTCTTCCCGTGCATACTAAAATCTTAGGAACAGGGCCATTAGAGAGTGAAACTATGAACAGAACGCAGCATCTGCAGAAACTGAAAGTCACATTGAGGGTGAGTCTAGAGAATTTGAGAGGAACGTGTATCTTGACCAGGATGCCCTTCTTACTTCAATTTCAGTCTACAGACACAGAGTGCCTCCAAGAGAGTTCTAAGAAAGAAACCAAAATATGTAACCTTAACCAGGATGCCCTTCTTCTTGCCTTTCTGGTAAGCATGCACATGTCAAGTAATAATTTGTTTCAACCTATGCTTTTTCTGCACCAGGGTTAGTCCCTGTCAGTGCATTTTCATGCTCAATATCAACTTTGAACACTTTGGTTGTTCATTATTACTTCCTTGACCGTCATTGAAGGTCTATCAAGCGCTTGGAAGCAGACCAGGGTCCCTATCATTCATTCTTTACCTGGACAGCAAGATGAAGCATAGCTCACATGTAGAGGGCCAAAATCAGATTGTACTCGGAGGAAGTTGCGTGGGAAATCCAAAGGGGATTCAGTTCACTGCTATGCTAGAGTTACAGATTGGTGGAACAGCAGTAATAAGTCTATTGGAGAGCAGGAAGCTGAAAGTTGATGGAGCTGATAGGACACTGTTGGTTCTGGTGGCTTCATCTTCGTCCGAAGGGGCCTTCCACTAGCCCTGTTGATTCCAATAAGGATCCCACTCCAGATTGCTGGAACTCGTTGAATTCACTTAAGAATTTGGGTTATGACGATCCAAGAGCACGGCACGTAGAAGATCATCAGTGTCTCTTTCATGGTGTTTGACTGCAGCTTTCTAATGGTTCCACGAGTGCTCCAGGAGTATCAACTGCAGATAGGGTGAAATCCTTCCAAACTGATGAAGTTCCATCCTTGGGGGGAGCTTTTGGTCGATATTTTGCTCATCTCTTTTTCCAGGCCAGAAACCCAGGTAGCCAATTTGCAGGGAATATGGAGGCAGGATCTGTCGTCACCATGGGAGTATGCCCCATTGTCTTGCAATCTCAGGATCCATTGTTTGACTACATGTCTACCACACTATCCGAGTTTCCCTCTCCCAATATATATCGGAAAACAGAGAAGAAAATCCATATATATATTCATTCTAATTCAACTCAAACACAGACAAGCAGCTGAAATTGCTCTGAATGTACACAATAGTCTGCAGAAATCATACAAAATGACTGGTAGGCAGAGAGGAGGAAAGAAGTAGGAGAAGCTTATACAAGAATTTTAGTCAATGGAGTTTGGTTATTTGTCGATTTGGTTGAGCTTGCCGAGCCCATTGCAGTTGGGGCAAACAATCTGGGGCAAGTCCTTCCTCGCAGCATTTGCCCTCAACGTCCCCGCCGACTTCCGAATGAAACCTGCTCCATCGCACTCCGGGCACCTGTAACAGCAGCAAGCAGAGCCTTTCAGAACCGAGAAAGCGAGAATCTCCGACTCTCTCAAATTAGAATCTAACGACAGGAAAAGGGTTTTTGGAGGTGCTTCAATTACGTGTCTTTGCGGGTGAAGAATGCAGGTAAGGCAGTTCCTAGCAGGGCGATGGTGGCGGCGCCAACGAGCAGGTAGACTGTGCCGTCAGGCGAGACATCTCCGACGGCTGCAACCACCGTCAAGGATCTTCTCCTGTTGTTGTTGTTCTTGCTCGGAAAAGACGCGAACTTTGGGGTTGCAGCAGCAGTAAAACCGCTGTGGCTGCTGCTGCATCCGACGAGTCGAGCTTTATGGGGCGCGGCGGATGAAAGCAGAGCAAAAGTTGCCATCTTTGAGCTGCTGGAGCTGGAGTGAGTGAGTGAGATGCGGAGATTTCGAAGCTTTTGAGAGATGCTTGTGGTTTTGTATGGATCTGATCAGAAGAGCCATTTGGATAAGGACACGTCAGAAGCAAAAGGATTAGGTGTGTGGAATGAATGGATAAGGCCAAAGCCTTCATTCTAAAGTTGATTCCTGCCCTTTCCGTGAACAGGTCTTGGTAAGAAAGGACGACCAACTTATTCGTAAACTCCTTGATGCTCTAATCCACCATTCCATATCGATGCCAACTTTGGGTAAGCTGCTGCTAAACTTCATTGCCCTGTAATTTGCTCTACCTTCATGACTGATTTTGGATATCTGAGATTTTCCTGCTTTCAGATTCTGGGCAGCAGTCGCTGAAATGCTGGTTCGGAGCTCTCCGAAGGCCATTAAAGCGAGGTGATCTTCATGAAGTTGGTCTTTGGTCTACAGAAGGGAATTCTGAACTAAGAGATTACATTACAGGGAAAGGTCGGTGAGCACTACTTGCTGTCTGGTCATGTTTACACATTCAACATTGAGTTGAGATACATACGTTTGAAACGAACTAACCTCCTCCCATGAGTAGCTCCTTGCTCAATTGTTATAGGATAAATGATTTCGGGGTCCAATTCAACCTGATAATGGTTAGTAGGATCAATTGGGGAGGATTCGTTTACAGCAGTTTGCTGTGTTGTTGAGATGCATACAAACATACTGTCTGGATGCTCACAAATCACAATGTCTGCGGACCCAAAAAGCAAGCTCCATTTTTTTGAAGATGCTTCAGTTGGGAGGCTGCGTTGCAGCACTGTAATTGGGAGGAGGACCAAATTCAGCATCTCTATTTTCAAGTTTCAAATGAAAGCAGCAGCAAAATGAGTGATGTCTAGTTTTAACTAAAAGTCCTAAACGGGAGGGGGATTTGCAATGATCGCTATTGCATGGGAACTTGTAACACAAGTAAAGGTCGAAAGACATTTTTTCCGTGTTGCATCAGTGGCAAGATGCTGGATTTGGTGTTCTGCTTGGTTCGGGCTAACGACTGGGATGATTACTCATTCTATTTTTGGTTCTGCACCAGTGGAGTTTGTCAATTGTGACAATATGCTAGAACTTCAGTCCTGGTTGGAACTTGGTGGAAGTATTCTGGTATCAACTTGGGAAAACATCTGCAGTTGTTACCCTGATGACTGTCAATGGTTGGTCATTGGCTTTGACAATATTCTCTTACACTTCCACTGTTGGTCTCAAGACTCGTGAATTTTCTGAAGACAGGGTATTTGACTCATTCATCAGGGTATGTCTCCAGTCTATCATTTTCTTTCTTCTGGGTTGGATCATAAGGAGGGATGACATACTCTTCTAAACTTTTATGTCCTCTCTAAAAACTGCTGCTATCCTGATGGTTGTGATTCTAACAGAGTTTGGTTACGGTCAACGTAAGATCTGTCATTGCAAGGTACTTTAACGCCTGTTAGTTTAAATGGTTGTGTTATCGGTTGGAGAATTTGAGATCGGTTACGTGATTTTGTCCATGGTTCTCCCAGGTGCATGACCATGGGGTTTTTAGAAGAGAACTTCGTTAGTCTCAAATGCCCACTCTTGGTTGCTAATGCCCTTATGGGAGATTTGTTAGAAACAAACAATTTGCAGCTTTTCATTATTTCGTATTATTGTCGGTTTTTTTAGTAATTGGGGGATTATTTGGGGTATTTAGCAATAAGTGGGGAGTTAGTTGTGACATTTTATTATATGGGTAGCAGTTAGGGAATTAGCGGATTATATAATCTGCAGTAGGGTGTTATTTTGACATTAAGCAATCAATTACAGAAAACCTAAATCCTAATCTTCCTCTCTCTCTCCCTAGCGCCGAACTCTCTCTCTCTCTCTCTCTCTCTCTCTCTTGGCCGATCGGCAGCCACCTTTTCCCCTCTCTTCTTCCTAAATTCCCCAATTCTAATCCCTAGCTTGATCAATCCCTAGTTGGTCTAGCTAATTTCCCCAATTCTACAACTGTTAGAAACTTTGTTTCTAACATCTGGTATCAGAGCCCGGTTTCGATCGGTGAGTTCTTCTCAACTCCATCAGGGACAACTTAGAGACCGGAGAATCAAGGATGGTAACGACGAAATCCATGAAGGCAGCAGAGAAAGCGGAGAAGGCGAATCAGGCGGGTGACAGGAGCGCCAATGCAGGTGACGACGGGGTCGATGGGGCTGTGGAGGATCTGACCGGCAATGAGGAACTGAGGAGAGACATGGAGGCGCAGGCGAGGAGACAAGCGCGGGTGGAGGAGGAGTTGGAGGAGCTGCAGGAGAGGGCTAGGGATCACAACCGCTCCATCGAGGCCTTGACGGCAGCGCTGGAAGCGCTGGTGGGACAGGTGAGCGGCCTGACAGAGGCCTGGAAGAAAGGCGGGAACGGAGTTGGTGGAGGCGACCAGCCGCCGGAAGGGAAGGGTGCGCCGGGGGGAGGCGCCGCCGTGGTGGTGGAGCTCGGGGGACAGGGGGCCGCGCGGCTTCCGGAGGGCAAGGGGGCGGGCGGCTTAGGCGAGACGGGAGGGGCGGCGGTCAACCCTAGCCGACCAACCGGGTCGCGTACGGGCCAAGTCACCTTCGGGCCATCGGTCAAGGATGGGCTACTACCGACCCCATCGGCCCAAGAGAGGGCGCGCGCGCGAGGCAAGGCCAAGATGGCCGAGTACGTGGAACCGGATCTGCAAACGGGCTTGGATGAAGAAGAGTTGATGGGCTTGGAGCAGGAGTATGATCATGAGCCGTGGCCTAATGAGTTGAGTGGGCCCGGGGAGGACTATAGCAGGGATGAAGGAAGCCACATGGGCCGAGCTGGGTTGGAAGGCGGGCCAGGTGGGAAGCGGCGAGAAACGGGCCGCGGCTGGGAGGTGGGTCGGCCGAGCCCCATGGGCCGGGGACCCGCGGGCCGGGCCGAGTATGCGGGCCGGGCTGGGTCGATTCGGGGCCCGAGCGGTCGGGTCGAACCCGGCCGGACCGAACCCGGTCGAACCAGGGCCGAACCGGGGCAGCAGCTGGCGCGGACCGGGGGAACGGGCAGCAGGGGATTCCCGGCTCGCCAAGGTCAGTTTGACGAGCTTAGTGGCAATCAACCTCCGTTTGTGAATCAGCAAGGCACTGGTAGGGAATTCATGGGATCAGGAACAGGAGACCAGAGGCAGAGAAATGAGATGGGCCGAAGAAGGGGATATCAGGAGGAGGAGGAAGGTGAGTGGGAGTATGAAGGGGGACCTCGATTCTCGCAGTATTATCATAGTGAGGCACCGGGATATGGGAGGCACGCCGGTTATTCCCGCGGGGGTGAGGCAGAAGATGACATGGTGTTCCGAGCTAAGCCTCCTACCATTGAGTTCCCAAAATTCAATGGCAGGGAGGATGCAGGTCTGTGGATATACTCCGCGGAACGGTGGTTCAAGAACCATCCCACCAGAGAAGAACGAAAGGCTCAGTTGGCGTCCTTCTATTTAGAGGGGGATGCATTGCAGTGGTGGGAATGGATGGAGCGGACCTATGCTGAAGCTCGGACGCTAATTACTTGGCCGATGTTCAAGGAGGAGTTGAGGTATCAGTTCGGCAAGTCGGAAGGGTGGGCCCCGGAGCAGTTGGCGAAGCTGCGCCAGACTGGGACAGTGGCGGAGTATCGAGCTGAGTTCTTCAAACTGGGTAACCAGTGCAAGAGCGTACCGGAGGAGACATTGGTGGGTCTGTGCATGGCGGGACTCCGCCCAGAGATTGCAGCGGCTGTTCGGGTATTTGAGCCCGATTCACTTCGAGCTGTTTTCCGTCTTGCAGGTAATAAGGAGGAGGAGCTGGCTAGCTGGCGGGGAGTGATAGGCCGTTATCAGAAGCCGGCCGGAGGAGGAGGCAGTGGTAGCGGCACGAGCGACGGAACGAGTGGAGCCACATCGGGCCCTAGTTCGGGAGGGGGTGCGGCGGCTGGCCCACCTTCGGCTGTCATTCGAGCGGGACCGAGGCCACCACCCAAGGGATTTAGGACGCTATCTCCCGCAGAGATCGAGCAGAAGAGGCGAGAAGGGAAGTGTTTCAACTGTGACGAGCGGTTTACCTTTGGTCACAAGTGCGGGAAGCCTGACTTGATGTTCTTGGTGGGACGATGGGAAGACGAGGCGGAGGATGAGATGGCGGAGGAGCCCAGAGCAGAGCAAGAGAAGCCGCAACCTTGAGGACAAGGTTGCTTCCCAAGGAGGCGGGGATGTTAGAAACAAACAATTTGCAGCTTTTCATTATTTCGTATTATTGTCGGTTTTTTTAGTAATTGGGGGATTATTTGGGGTATTTAGCAATAAGTGGGGAGTTAGTTGTGACATTTTATTATATGGGTAGCAGTTAGGGAATTAGCGGATTATATAATCTGCAGTAGGGTGTTATTTTGACATTAAGCAATCAATTACAGAAAACCTAAATCCTAATCTTCCTCTCTCTCTCCCTAGCGCCGAACTCTCTCTCTCTCTCTCTCTCTCTTGGCCGATCGGCAGCCACCTTTTCCCCTCTCTTCTTCCTAAATTCCCCAATTCTAATCCCTAGCTTGATCAATCCCTAGTTGGTCTAGCTAATTTCCCCAATTCTACAACTGTTAGAAACTTTGTTTCTAACAAGATTCTACCTGAGGGTTAGTGGGTTAACATACTTTTTCCCTGCTTCACCTGGAATGGAAAAAGCCGTTTTGGATTTATACTTGGTTCTGCTTAATGCTGATCTAGTAGCAAGGTGCAGAATGCTGATCTGAAAGTTAAGCATCCAGTTTAGCCTTGTGATGCTGTAAGCTATATGGTGCTTCATTGGTGTCTCCTATAAAGGAATCTGGGAATCCTTGCCTAAGCGTCCATTGTTTGTATTTATCTGTAGCCGTCTTCACTACTGTGACCGAATATCGGATGAATGCTGCTGCTCCTGGACTTACCAGCCTGCAGAAACCATACAACCAACGAAAAGACAAGTTAAATGACTTGATGAAACTATCCACTAGTTAATCTTACTGTGTAAGGGCAACTTGTGCAATGAATCTAGCGGTATATGAATGGCATTATACTCTCTATGTTTCAAACGCCTCGTTTCTATGCTCTTGGATGTAATGTCATCTTTTTTCAATGCAAAGGCCCAGAAATTGTTACGGCGTTCTCTGCCCATTTGATTCCGCCGTCGGGGTCCTTGTGGAGATACCATCTGTTTATGGTCTGTTCCAGGACATCTGTGATGGTGTTCGCGTCGAGCAAAACCCATAAGAGCTACTCTACTAGGACATCTATGTTGAAAGTGGAGCTGAGGAATAAAGGACAGGGGTCCCTAGTCTCTCTCTTATGTTTTTTTCAAATTTTTGCTCTGTCTTCTCTCTTTTCCTCCAGCCCCTCTGCTTGGTCTTTGCAGGGGTTGCCGCCGGCACCTCTTGGTGACCGACGGTACCCAATGTTCTTTCCTCTTCCTTACTTTTTTATGCTTCCTTGTCACTGGTTTGGCCTTTTTCAATCGGATTTTCCAGCTTTTTAGCTTCTCCTGCCTTTATGGCCTTTCGTTGCCCTGTTCTAGGGTTTCTTTCTGGATTTGCTCTCCTTTAGAGCTGGGTTATGCATCTAGAGGTCTCCTCTCTAGATGGTGGGTTCATCAACATGCATGGTGAATCGATTCATTGTTTTCCCCTCCGTTCCCCCTGTTGGTAGTCATCTGCCTCTTGGTCGGCGTCGGTGGAAGGAAGGCGGTGTCTGGCCCTTCTGACTGCGGTTTCAGACCTTGGATTTTGGAGTTTGGGTTCCTCTTCTCCCTTGACCAAGTTCTTGGTGCCTCGTCTTCCTCTGCTTTTTCAGCTCGGAGCATTTCGATCATCTACCCTTTCCACCGCTATGTAATCCCTCACAAGAGATTCAATGTGTTGAGCGTCTTCGAGCGACTCCCAGGAGGCGGCCTTTGGCGTTGTATTCAATTGTCATGGACTCGATCGGATCGGACGAGCTGATTAGGCGTGGTGCTCTTTGATTGGTTTGTTTGCAAGGGAGCTTTCGGTGTCTTCTGGATCTGATTCAAGTGTTGCTGATGTTTTGGGTTGATCTTTTCTGTGTTTTGTTCTTCTCTTTTTGTATTTCTTTAACACAGTTTGTTCAACCGTGTGCTTGTGTTTGGCTTGCCTTGATCTTTTTTGGGCTTCTTTGTTTGGCTCTCTTGTAACTTTTCTTTCAAAGAGCAATACAAGTAAATCCTTTGTAAAAAAAAAGGGTT